ACTCGAAAATCCCATTCGGGTTCAAACATAGTTGGTCATAGGTAATCGGCTATGCTGAATCCGAATATCATGGTCGTTACTGTTAATGAAGTCCTGTAGGTCTTAGTTTTCTAGAAAAATAGTTTTCCATTAAAAAGTATAGGGGAAAAAATGGGTACGTAATATTTGAATTGCTTATTCGTATATTACGTATCCACTTTTACCCATGTTCTTCCCTATATTTGTGACTATTGTGGCTAGTCACGCCAGTCTTTAGTCATAGTACCTCACGTTAGTGTGCTAAAACACTGACCAAAGTAATTTTTCATATGCAATTTAATGTGCTCTATCACCTAGGAATATCAGAAAATCATTTCAGAAAAAAACAAAAAACATTTCTAATAGAAAACTGGTTTTTGTAGAAAACTAAGACCTTCAGGACTCTATTAACGGTAACGACCGTGATATTCGGATTCAGCATGGTCGATTACCTATGACCAACTATGTTTGAACCCGAAAGGGATTTTCGAGTTGGTGAACCTTCCTCGTAAGTGGTACATATCAGATATGAGCACAGGACAACTTTTGATGTCCTGTCCTGTCCTTCTATCCTGAGAACGTGTGTCCTGGTGTGCGGCAGGGCAGGGCAAAAATCTAATGTTTGTCCTGTCCTGCGTACAGTACGAACAGGACAGTATGGGATAATAAAACACTTGTCATTTTTCGTTATAAAAGTTCACCGACCACTGAAAATCTTTTGGTCTATTAATTGTCTGTTATAAGCATTTATAACAACTTAATGTTCATCAAATTTATTACAATAAATAGAAAGAAAAAGATTGTTGAGTTAGTATATTAATGATTAGTTGTTTGCGTTTGAGGAAGGTTGTGGGTATTTTTAGTTAATTAATTCTGTTCCTAATTAATATATTTATTATATACAATTTGAAACCTGACGTTTCGAACGACGATGTCGTTCTTCGTCAGAAGTGATGATACATTTTGATATAGATATCTCATTTATATATGTTTCTTTTCTTTCCTTTTCATTTAATAGTAGTGCAGACGATATATATTTCATCTTACCATACCAGACTATTACCGTCTTGTCCGTACCACTGTTAAATGAAAAGAAACGAGAAGAAACATATATAAATAAGATATCTATATCAAAATGTATCATCACTTCTGACGAAGAACGACATTGTCGTTCGAAACGTCAGGTTTCAAATTATATATACTAAATGTCTTAATTAGGAGGAAAATTACTTAACGAAAAATTAATGATTAATCTAGCAGAGAAGATAAGTACACAGTATTAATACAATGTTAATGTCTATTACAACTAATACATATCACAATAATCGTGTATTTTTCCTTAATCGATTGAAGTAAGAATTTAACTGTTTCTGAAGTTAAAGGAGCTTCAGGCGAAAATAAAACGTTGTTAGTATCCATCTATAAAGAAAATAATTATACAGACGTTAAAAGAAACAGTTCAAAGTAAAATAAAAGGTTATACAAAGAAAGAACGATTGTAATGTTCGTTTGTTCAACAGTCTACTTTTTATTTCACTCTTTTCTTGACCAACATAATAATGAACTCTATTCTTTATGACTAAGTGCACCATTTGCCGTCCGTTACGTGTATGAAGGATATGTAATTGAATTACATATTTATTTAAACGATAAAAAAATAGAATTTTATACAAGATAACATGCTCGTCCTGTTATGTCCTGCCGTCCTGTGAACGTCTGTCCTGGTGTACGGCAGGACAGGCGAAAAATTTGAAATTGGTCCTGGCCTACCGGACAGGACAGGACAGGGCCCCAGGACGACAGGACTGACCTGACCTGTGCTCATCTCTGGTACATATGATGATGTGACGTGCCTTGTACCAAGCGGAACTTGAAGATCGACAATGATTTTGCCCATTGTGAGTCCTTGCGCCTTAGAAGTGCTTTTTGCGAAAGCAAGCACGATTGGTGATTGCGTTTTTGTTGTTCGATTTATTTCTGGAACATTTTTTCCATCGTGCACATGTTCAAATAGTGATTCAAAGACCTGTTTTGATGGAAATAGTAAGTTGTTTTTTTGTGTACTCAAAAAGTGAGTACACTACTAGAATCGGTCCGTGTGTCCGTCGGCCGTCCGGTCGTTTACACGATAACTATCGAAAGGAGAATCAGATTGAGCTGAAATTTTCTACAGCGTTTTGTCTCATTGATATCTCGCTCGAGTTCGAAGATGAGCCCAACCGGTTGTACCATAGCTGAGTTATAAAAGAAATTCTCATTATTGATCAGATCATCCCTGGGGGGAGTACAGGAATCTTTTTCAAAAAAATATTATTCTCAAAATTATTCACAACATATATAAATCAACTCAGTTTTTAACGCTGATTCCAAATCTGATATTAGTTTTGAACCAAATCATAGCTTTCTAACAAAACATCGCCTGAAAAAGGTCTCAAAATGCACAGAAACTGTATCCAAAGGCCAAATTGCCTAGATATATCTCAGATGACTAGTAGTTTTGAGATTTTCTAAATACCTGGTTTTGTAGCTAGTCAACAGGACTATCGAGAAGTAAAAACCCGCACTCGATAGCTATTAATGTTGATGAGCTACTATGCCAATACTGATGTCTGTATCTATCATATATCTCTTATACATTCCTGAGGTTACTTACGATCGTAATCCCGCTAGATACAAACACAAACTCATTTAAACACAACTTCTTTTATTTAGTGTTTTTTGAAGTAGATAGAATTTGCCAAGAGCTCTAAATAATGATACGAGGTAAATATTGTGCGTTTGAGGTTTCCTCAACATTACACTGTGAGAAAACTATGAAAAACTCACATATACTGACACTACCGTTAGAACTTTTTATTGTTGACTAAGAATCAATAAATAAGGTCAATATCTATTTCCGCTTTTTGCCTTACACATAACTCTCGGATAAAATCAGAGGTTACGCATTTATTTATGAGTGGAATAGGGATCAGTTTGGGAGGAAGACCATCAAGATCTATTTTCACCTGTGATGTATTAATTTCCATGAGTGCATGCAATGGTTTACGTATGTACATCGTATTTGGGTGTGGATGTGTGGGTGGCGTACTTTATATATCAAGAAAGAATACCCACACCTACATCCTGTTTTTAGTGATGAGAGGGGGTGCTTAAGTGAAACGGTAAACAGTACTAGTTCGTGGTACGCATGCACTAGTGGCGGCGGAGCGTAGAAGCTCATGAGGTTTGAGTCTCACTTGGTTTTGTAATGAATATTATTTTTTATTATTAGAAGTTGTTATGTTCGGCACCTAGAGGTGGGTGTGGGTGTGGGTGCGGTTGTGAGTAAGAAAGAAGAGGATAGTTTTGACACCCACACCCTTATAGATCGACGAAGTTAGAAATTTGGATGTAACAGCAGAGCGTACTAAGTAAGTTTGAATGCCAAAATCGAGGAAGGAGTTTGAGGAGGCAAAGAAAAAAGCTAGCTTTGTTTCGACGTTCTTTATGGCTGACCCCAGTCATATCACTAAAACGCAACATATTTATTCAAGATTTCGGTGTACTGGAGATGAAAATAATATCGACGAATGGGGTGACCGTTTATGTGTTTTCAATAATATTTGCTACAACGTCAATCGACGCCGATTTGAATATTTTCGCCGTCTGCATAAGCCTGCTTTTCCTCTTTTTTTTGACTCTAATCACGGAATGTTAACAGACTTCAACTTCGATAAAAAAGGACGTCATTTTGTGTCTCTTTCAACTCGAAACTCAACACCTTGGGCACCGTATGTGGTAGATCGCCCTTGTCCTAATAAAATTCAAAGTGTGACATGGCTTTTCGATATACACACATTGTGGAAGGTAGGCAATTATTAGGACACTTGATGATAGCTAAGTTAGCCAGCGTCTTGATTTCGTATCAGCTGAAATTTTTGTGCATTGGAATTCTGTTTTCAGAGATAAACTTTGTCTATTTTCAAACGATAGTAGCCAGCGTCTATATAACCTGAATTTTATTTAAAGTAGCACTAGAGAGAGTTATTAAAATGTAAGCGCGAGGGTATGGGTGTGGGCGTGAATGTGAATATATGTGTGGGGGTCGGTGTGGGTGACAATAAACGATAACTACATTATCTACATGTACTTACACAAAAAACCTCGCTCATTGACACCCAAGCTGACACCTAAACGCACAGCCACAACTACAGCCACCTACACCGATTCTCAAATTAGAAATACAGTTGAAATCTGGCGTTCATAGGGTATTTATTGACTACTTCAAGATACTTCAGCGCAGCAAAAATTAGTTCAATAGGGCTAGTTATACTGGAAGTCAATTTTAAACATATTATAAGAGAGTTTGATTTAGTCAAAATCAAATTTTTTGAATAGGCCGATTCCATCGCTTATTGATCCACTTCCTTTTATGGGAAATCTACTGCACTTGGTTGTACTTGTAGCCAAGGTTCACTGAACTTGAAAGACCTTTTAAAGATGTCGGTGTTCTGTGCGTTGTGAGTCATACGTAAGATACGGAAATTTGTCGTTAACGATGTTCTGATCTTGTTCATCTCAATACTTTGTTTGATGTTCATTCTAACAGAACGAACGTCTTTGAATTTTGTATATGATATTGCATTCTTGTTATCTTTTCATAGGAATACTATCCCGGTAATAGTGTTGGCCATGTCGTTTGGGAAGAAATGGCATCAATTTTTTATGCGATGGATCGGATGAACGAATATGATAAACACTTAGTTGTAATGCATATAGGTGAGGTATCTAACAATCCCGATTTTAAAAAATTTGAACGACACGTACTAGGTGCGATTACTTCTAAGAAACTTGTCGAGTCCAAATCATATCTTGCTTCATTTAATACGTCTTTTGTATGTTTTGAAAAAATGATTGTAGGTGGCCATCTTGTGATGTATCATGAGCGGGCATTAAGAGAGAACAATGGTCGCGAGCAATTGCTTTATAAGTGGAGATCAAAAATGGTTGAGCATAATGGGTATAATCCACTGTTTGTTCCAAAAAGTCATCGAATAACAATTACTAATAAAACAAATACGAGATGGCTTCCAGTAGTTGGCAACCGACTTTATCGAGCTATTGCTAATTTAAACGAAGTGGTGAATTTTGTTAAAAAGACATATCCTCATATTCCAGTTAATGTTATAGAATGGCACAAAGTCCCATTTCCTGAACAAATTGCAATGATGCTTAACACTACCATCTTTATTACTCCTTGTGGAGGAGCTTCTATGATTGCGCCGTTCTTACCCCATGGAGCGAGCGCTATTATAATGGATTATTATGTTTCTAAAGTTGACATATTCCATTTTAAAAAAGGAGCTAGTGCGTCCATGGATGGATTTTTTCATAACCATTTCCCTCATTTTCGAAAAATTTACTATCAAGTTTATGGTCCACAAGATTATGTTTTTGACTATGAAGGTGCGACGAATACACGAGACGATGCATCGATTCTGGTGAACTTGACACGACTTCATCTTTTAATGGAGACTGCGATGGACTGGCGATTTTGAATTTAATCTTTAAGAAAAACAGGTAACCCTAGTCTCAATCCTGTTCATTCCTTGGAAAAACATGAAAGGATCTTTCAGGATCCTGACTCTCAAGGATTTTGACAAGTTATATTCAGGATCCTGTCTCAAATCCTGAAAATTCTTGTTTCAAGGATATCTCAAAGTAAAACAAGATCCTATCCAGGATTGGTTAAAGTTCCTGTCAAGATTTATTTCTAAAATAAAATATAGAATCTCGTTCAGGATTGGTTCAAACTCCTGCCAAGATCTTTTTTGTTAAATAAAAATAAAGGATCCTGCTCAGGATTGGTTAAAGTTCCTGTCAAGATTTATTTCTGAAATAAAATACAGAATCTTGTTCTGGATTGATTCAGTTTCCTGTCAAGATTTTTTTCTCAAATTAAAATAAAAGATGCTATTCAGGATTGGTTTAAATTCCTGTCAAGATCTTTTTCTCAATTTAAAATATAGAATCTTGTTCAGGATTAGTTAAAGTTCCTGTCAAGATTTATTTTTCAAATAAAAATAAAGGATCCTACTCAGGATTGATTCAAATTCCTGTCAAGATCTTTTTTTCAAATGAAATTACAGGATCCTACTCAGGATTGGTTAAAGTTCCTGCCAAGATCTTTTTCTCAAATGAAATTACAGGATCCTATTCAAAACATTTTCGACATCCTACTTAGATATTTTTCTAAACTGACAATGAAGAATCCTAGAAAATTTCATCTAGATCTTGTGAAAGATCCTGAAAAGATTGTAAAAATATATTTTGAAAAAGATTCTATTAGGTTTCCACCAAGATGTGGACTAAATATTCGCATCAGAATCTTGACAAGATCCTTGATAGGTCACACTATGATCTTAGTAGGGAAATAAAACGATCAGTCATAAAACAAAACTTATTTATCCTTGATGATTCCTGTTAGGAACTTCTTCGGAACCTTTTAAGAATAAATGTTTTCAGACTTACATGAAAATACCAATCGTGATCAGGATTGTTAAACGAAACTAAGAGGATCTGGCTAAGACCTTTAAAAGCTACTACTTTTTCTATTCATTGAGTCCATTCCTTGAAGAAAACATAGAAAGATCCTGTCAAGATTGTTTCTAAGATTTGCTAGAATTCTTGCTTAGTGTTTCTTATGCATGGATATTCTGAGATCCTGCAAGGATTTACTTCAGATTCTAATCAGGATCCTGACTAAAAATATTTAAAGGATTTTAAAGAAGAAAACCTTACCAAGCTATGATCAAGATCCTGCTGAAAACTCGTTAAGAACAAAGTTTGCGAATTTTGAGCATGTAAAATAAGTATGATTAGGATCTAGATATAATTTTTGCAGGTACCTATATCGAATGTATTCGAATTTTAGTTTTCAAGATCCTGGCAAGATTTTCAATCAGCTATATTGAGGATCCTGTTAAGAACTTGTGGGACCATATCCCCGGGTCTTTTTACTTAGTTTTTTCTTAATTTCACTTCAGATTTTATAAATTTATGTATTCTAATACACTCTCAAGATTAATTATGTATAATGAACAGGTAAAAAAATTCAATTTATATTATTCTGAATTTAGACAGTGATAAAACAAATAAATAATTCATTTATAAAAATTTTAATTCTGCATATGAAAAAAATTAGTAGTAAAATATAAATTAATCATATTTTGAATTGACCGATTACTTTAAAAAAATAATTTATGCAATTTTAAATTAAACACTTAATATATAAATAAGTTTAATACATTTATACATTTAAAACGAATTTATTAATGAATAAATGGTAATTAAAATTATTAAATTTTAAATTGAAAAAATAAGAAAAAAAAGTAATAAAAAAGAAAAGAAACATAAAAATGACTTGTTACATCACTGCTAAACGAGAACACAGTCCAGCTGGGTTAGCTGTTCAGTTCATGAACTGAAGGTCTAGAGTTCGATACTCTATGTGTTCACATTTAATTCGTTCTGTTTAGAAAATCCTGCGACGATCCTGACACAATCCTGCCACGATACTGGTAAGTTTTGAACTTGTAAGTATATGCAAACAGAGTTTAAGTGACTAGTTCTAGGAGATTCGTTCGTGTAAGTTATACAGAAACCTGATGGAATTAGAAAGTATCCTGAACGGAACCTGAAATATATTTTTAAAAAATAGGTGCATAAATCCTGAAAGGATCCTGTATAAAACTTGATACTAACATGAGAGGATTCTAGAAAAATCTTATTTGGAATCCTGTCAAGATCTTAAGATTTCGTGGCTACACGTTTCTTTCAGGATTTAGCGGTTCCCTATCTCGTTCCTAGATTAAAACACAATGGTAATCTTGCTAGGATCTTTAGAAAATCTTGTTCTGAATCCTGTCAGGATCCTGAAATTCCATGGCTACACACTTCTTCCAGGATTTAGTCGTTTCCTTAGGAAAAAAGTACGAATCCTTGCAGGATCCTTATAGGATCTGCCATGGATCTTGCACGGAAATATCAAAGATATTCCCCAGGGAACTGTTAAGTTCACGCATTTAAAAATAAGACTCTAGACGTGTTACGCGTCGGATAGAACTAAAGGGTGTAGGTGGGGGTGACGGTGGATGTGGGTGCAGATGTGAATATAGTTCGGTGTCGGTGTGGGTGTGGGTGTGGGTGTGGGTGGGTGTGGGTGGGTGTGGGTGGGTGTGGATGGGTGCGGGTGAGTGTGGGTGGGTGCGGGTGGGTGCGGCTGGGTGTGGGTGGGTCTGGGTGGGTGTGGGTGGGTGTGGGTGGGTGTGGGTGGGTGTGGGTGGGTGTGGGTGGGTGTGAGTGTGGTTTTGAGTGTGGGTATTAGTAGAAGTGGGAACCATGTACTCTGGTACAGAGCTAGAACAAGTACAAGTACCGCAAGTAGAAGTATTATACTTGTACTTGGGGAAGAGTACTTGGTACTTGTGCTTGAATAAGAGGACTTGGTACTTTTACTTGTACTTGATAAAGAATACCTGGTACATATTCCTTATATATATATGCCATAATATTTTATTTGGTAATAAAAATACGTCGATTTCGTTAAGTTTAGACCGTCTTGTGTTCTCCTACAGTGATCAGCTTAATATTTACGGCGTTTCAATACTCTTATTATAAATTTATCCATATTTCTTATCCCAGAGATAAAATTGATTTAAGTGTTGCATTTTTTTCGTCCATTTATGTCTTTCATAAAATTATGCGGTACGGTTCTGTCTAGAATTGTACATAAAAGTTAAAACCCGTAAGATGGTGTAGCCGTTTGGGAGCATATATTTAAAAATGAAAATTATAAAAATGTAACTTTAATAAAACTATTACTGATAAAATAGTGAAGAAGAAATATCTAAGTACATCAAAACAGAGACTTAGTTTTAAAACCATCTCTTAGATAAAGATATGGAATGGGTATGTGAACATTATTGTTTAATAGCACTTACTCATCTCATTATATAATGTCTTTTGCGTTCACTATATTTATTCCCACTGTTATAATTACAAATACATATCATGAGAGAATAGTAAATAAATTATGTTGTAAACTATTAGTGCATTAGAATAAGCAGCTATACTAATCTTATTTCGAAAATATATATTGTATTTATCTATCATTTACAAGTACCAAGTACTCTTCCCCAAGTACAAGTATAATACTTCTACTTGCGGTACTTGTACCTGTTCTAGCTCTGTACCAGAATACATGGTTCCCCCTTCTACTAATACCCACACTCAAAACCACACTCACACCCACCCACACCCACCCACACCCACCCACACCCACACCCACACCCACACCCACACCCACACCCTCACCCACACCCTCACCCACACCCACCCACACCCACACCCACACCCACACCCACACCCACACCACAAGATACAACAGGAAACGTTCTACAATCTTGACAACAAAG